AATTAGAATAGAAATACTGGATCTTTTAAAAAGCTTTTGTATCTCCTCCCTCAGCTGCAAGGATTATTTGTTGACCTTGAGGAGCCAGTGATATCATTACCTCACAAGGAAATCCTCACAAAAGGTTTGCTACTGATTCATGTGTAGAAAGGAACAGCCATGACTTATTTAACCACCCATGTAGATATCAGAAAATTGTTTTCTAGTCTGAAAACAGAAGCTGAAAATTTGCAAAAAACCACAATTTTTAGTGTGTGCTTTTATGGATGACAGAGAAGAGAGAAACCTCTCTTCTGGCAAAAAGGCCAGGGCAGASATTGAACCAAAGTGAGCCTGTTTGTTGCCACTCCCACTTCAGAAAAAGACTGTTTTACATTTGCAAATAAATGCACTATTCAGCAGAACTCCAGTCACTTTYCTAACAGGAGATTTTCCTATGAGATGCTGGATGTCTGCTGCTGTTTCACAGAGGAGGTAGTGCCAGAGGGCGTTGGTCTGTTTTCTGAAAGGGATTGACAGAGTTCTCCCTATGTGTCATGAGAGCTTTTGGTAAAATTAGATTCTGCCCTGTCCACAACAATAAAGGCCATACCCACATGCAGCTCMCATAGCTCATATGCTTCCTGGAGCAAAACCACAACAACGTTCRTCTGTTTTCTCTTTTTATTTTAACAATGGCCCCTGCTCCAAAATCAGGTGTCTGCCTATGGGGTGTCACTGCCATCGAGGGCCTGGGGGTGACAGAGCACAAACCAGGCAGAATATATTCATCAAAAACACAGCACAGTGCAGACAGGTCAGCATCACCCTGGGCGTCTGGTCAGGCTCCRGTTTTGKTAGTTAATTGTTTAAACAGCAGCARCAAATTGTGTCTCTCTGAGGATCTGCGTGCATTCCTCCATTAGTCCTGATTTGTATGGTGAGGACAGGCTGCTGAAAGGAAGAGCAGGGGGTGAATTATCCCATGACTTTGCTAAATTTGTCCTTGTGAATGGAGAGAGYGAAATATTTGACTGCAGGGGGGAGCAGAGTGGTAACTGTCAGGAACAGCTGGAACATATATACTGTGTCATGTCTTTTTGTGGCCCTGGGCTTTTCTGCTTGCTGAGAGAATGCTGCAGAGGCATGTTAGCATTCTGCTGAGTAAGTGTGGTGAGAGTTCYATATGTAAACAGGGATCAGTTGCTAGATGAGAGGAAAAGGCTGTTCTCCCAGGGCTGTGGCTGTCTCTTGTGTGCACCTCAACCTTCACAATGCCTGCATGGTGTTGTAAATTAAATGTGGGGCTAGATTCGCAGAAAACCATCTGCTTGTGGAAATGTCAGTTGRGATAACTCAGGTATCTCTTCCTCCTTTGAWACCTATAAATTTGTGAATGAAATAAATCCTTCTGATTTTTCCCATCCTCTTCATCCTGATTATTCATTTGTCCGCAGGGAAATAAGAACTTTCACTACTCTCAGTATTAATAACAACACCACCAGTTGCTGTGCAACATGAAAATGGATAAGCTTTAATAGCATGCTTGACTTCTATCAGTGGTCTGTAAAGTCGTGAAGGAGTCTCACATCAATGCAAGAAGCCATTTTGTTCTTCTCTGTTTTATTAGTAGTCAAGTGTTGTTATCCTCTGAAACATCAGTAGCCTAAGTTAGGAAATGAAGGSAGTAGAACAGTTCTTCCATGACCAKCAGAGAATTAAATCCTCTAAGGGATCTGGCTGCTGCGAATTGCACACACATCCAGGGTCAAACTGRCCATGGTTGTTCTGATCTCTGCTAGTGGCACATGAGCTAATCTGGTGAGGGCTGTGTTGGTTTGTGGCAAGGTTTTGATAGCAGAGGGGCTTTTATGAGAAGCTGCCAGAAGCTTCTCCGATGTCCACCAGAGCCAAGGCCAGCTGGCTCCRAGATGGACGTGCCACTGGCCAAGGGCCAGCCCATCACTGACCGTGGTAGCACCCCTGGGATTGTGTACTTAGGAAGAGGAAAAAAACTTGTTCAGCAGCAGTCAGAGGAGAGGATTGAGARCTTTCCATCCATTTCCAGCCTCAGTTCACCCTCTACATAAGTCTTCAACTGTAAGGYTTTTTTTGAGAAAAGACCCTGTCATTCATCATTATGATGATGGATTTACAAAAATAATTTTATAATGTATATGTGGCTGAAAAGTCAGTGCACGGAGCAGGACAAAAGTGAAATCCCACTTCTTCCATTAGGATAAGATACCRTTCATTTTTAAGCCTGTTATTGTCAAACAGAGGTGTGAGAGATGCATTATCAGCTCAATGAAAGTTGTCAGGATAAGAAAACTACTTTATTTGCTCTTTTAATGTTTGGAGCACAAATACCAAGAAGGCACAGCAGCTTTCATAACARACACGTTAACCCCCACATGCTCTGCTTAATTATGGCTTCCTGTATTTCTCCTCAGGCTACTGGCACCATAAGTAAGCTGGCACAGATTTTATTTATTCTGAATATGCTGAGTGCAAGTAGCTGGGCAGGTGCTTCTCAAGCAGCTGAGCTGTTCCAGCAGTTCCAGAGGACAAGGGGCCGTCTGACAGAGGACTGACACATCGAGCAGGGAACAGAATCACTGCACCCCTCCCTGTCACCATGGCTACCACTGAGCAGGCGAGTTTTGGGCAGAACTGCCAATTTAGGCAACTGCTGATTTCTTCTTATTGCCTCTGCATCGCCCCCTCCCTTGATAAGGTACRAGTGCTGTAGCAGGACACAGCATTTATCAGCTCAGGAAACTAGTCCTGATACAGCTGGAAAATAACATCTCTCTCTTTTTGACTCATTCTTTTCCAAACAGTCAGGTTTGTGATTCAGTTCCTCATGTGGGCACAAATACACCCTGTCTGCAGTGTGGAGGTGATGGCAGAAATGCAGGGACAAGTATGGGGACTGCTGGTAATTTAGGCACTGTTGTCACTGGCCACAGCAAAGACTGAGCCAGAGCTCTCCTTAAGGCTGTGGTCTGCTATTCGATGTTTAAATCCAATCTGTGGCTCAGGGTTTTTCCYCTGTCCTGTCCCCTCCCCGTTCCCTCTGCTGYCTTTCTGCAAGTGGTTATGCAGCTGCACAGGGGAAGCCATCTGTCTGAAGGATGATCCAGTAAAAAATGGATATTGTTAGGACACTGCAGGGGTAACACATGAAATGTATCCCAACTCATTTTATTTGGACAGTTTGAAGGTTTAAAGCCTTTAGTTTAWGGCTACTGTATCTGTCAGGGTGACATAGGCAAGTCGCATATGGAAGGAAAGTGTGACTTTCCTTCTCTAAATAAGTTCCATGGCTGGATATATCTCTCCAAGGAGAAGTGTTGCAAAGCCTTGTTCACAAACCTGCTATTAAACATGTGAAGTTGTTAAAACATCACTGTGGATAATGGATAAATGGAGCTGAGTGAGGGTGGTAGTAGAATAGAAGGTTGGGAATTAAATTGTACTGTAAGACTGCATGAAAACCACTCTCAAAGAAAAACATATCCAAAAAAGTCAGAGCACATTTRAAATACAACATTTGTAATTTTTTCATGACAGTTTTCATTTATCTTAGGATTCTTTTGAGACTAGTGATAATGTAAAGCACTAGCAACAGGAGTTTGTACAGATTTATTTATATATTTATGTAAATGTACATAGGGCAAGTATTTATAGTTACGCCATTTATAGTACATATTATATTCAGTATAATACATACATATTGCCATCACATTTTTTTCTTAAAAACTTGTAAAACAGAATCACGGTTTCCAGTTTGTGAGATTCCAGCAGGGACGCTGAAAGATGTTGTCAGTCTGACCTGCCAAAGAGCCCCAGCAGAGACCTGAAAAATTCAGTGAGAGCATTAAAGTGTTCCACAGGCCTGCTGGTGCTGATCACACCTTGCAGAGCCAGGCTGCACTGCGAGTGCTGTGCCTGGCCAGGGGCACGTGAAACTCTGAAATAACAGACTCGTGAAACCGGTGAAGAGCTGCTGTGTCCGCTTCAAATAAGTCTTCCTAAAAACGAACACAAGCTGCCCTGTCCTTGAAAAGGCAGGAGTTTCCCACCCTGGAAAGAGGCACAAACTACAAGGATATCAGGAATGTTATGCACTCCGTGGGCGTATTTTTGAGTCGTGGCAGTGGAGTGGCAAACGTTGTCCTTTAAGTCACTTTCTGATAAAGTGTGTTTCTAAAAAATCTGTGRTGATGTGATCMGAAAAATCACGTTTATTCCTATTAAATTGATACAGGAGGCTAAATGCTACTGGAAAAGCCCTTAAATCCACCGAGTGACCAAATCTGGTAGATGGTGGACGCTGCAGTGGAGATTTCAGTGGGAACTGACCCATCTGGCGCTGGTTTTGCCTCCCGCTCCGTCCAGAGCCCTTCTCCTGCCGGGTCACCACGGTCCTTCACGGGGACCTCCGCTGTCACCGCTGCCTCCGGCGCTCCCACGGCTCAGCC